GCAAAGTATGTTTACTTGGAGGACAATAGGTCTTTTTACCATTCAGCATTGGATGTAAGTCTTCATTAATTTTTATGTCCACTAAATCCAATCTTTCCTTCACGCCATTCTTAAACTTGCTTGCTATGTCAAGAAGTGTTCCAATAATATTACCACACACATTCTTCTCCATATGCATTATATCAAAATAATGTTTCACATCGAGATAGTGCTAATATGGAAGGCCAAAGAAGATAGACCTCTTTTTTCATATATTTTTTTTCACTATTCTTTATAGTTTTACCAAAGTTAACAATGATCTCTTTCACCTTTAAGAGCTTTTCACAAGTATTTTTAAGAATAATGAATGAATGCAATCAGTAAAAATCACAATTTGAAATCTCTTTAAATGCACAAATATTAATTTTTTCATTCAAAGATCATTAGTCTCTGTTCTGGTTCAAAATGAATCACTTATATAGTTTTTAGAAGTTGACAGACTTTAGAATAGTGATTTTATCCAGTAGTGCATTTTCTTGTGAGTGACTGGTATAATCATGTTTGTTTTTGCACTAACGAAGTTTCACAAGATTGAATTGACAGATCACACATGAACACCTTGTTTTCTCACACGTGGTTTTCCACTTTTAAAAGATCATTTAGTTCTGTATGCTTAATCACGCATGGTACCTCTTTGCTCTCTCACGTGATTTTACACTTATGAATATACTAACATAACAAAGTGCTAAAATATATAAGTACAGTACTTGCTCTCATGTATGGTTTTGCATATCAAGAACTATCATCAGTTCCATGTGACAAATCACGCATGGAACCCTTACTCTCTCATGCGTGAAATGGCTAGCAAAATGTGAAAGCCATTCAATGTGATCAAAACTCATGTGGAACCAGAAACATATCACTCGTGATATTGCAAGCATTAAAGAAAAAACTTATCTGATGTATATTCATGCTTGGAATAAAGCATAACTCAAGCACAATTTTGCATGATCAAGATATATGAATTCTTGAATTAATGATCATACATGTGAATAATTCTAGCTTGACTTGAGAGGATTTAAGACTTATCAAAACAAAGTGTGATTGTTCAACAAGTGACAAATCATGTATGGCTACCACTAGTCTCATGTGTGGTTTTACACTTAGTCATAATACAATGAAGAATAGGTGCTAAAACTTGCATGAACACTAAAGCCTTTCATATATGGTTTTGCATGCAGAGATAGAGCATAAGGCAACATACAACACAAGTGCTTAATCACACATGAAGCACTTCTTCATACTTGCATGATCAAGCATTCAGTATGCCTAATATGCAAAAACTCATGAATGGCTTGCAAAATCATGCGTGATTCTACCTCTTCACTATGCAAACTTTTTCTATGAAAAACTATATGTAAGAGAAATAATGTTTACAAGCTTTAACATACTTAAATGAGTCTTAATGTGTATAGATGAGACATATGATGCATTCATTGAGTGATTAAGAAAAGTGATTAAGCTCTCTAAGTATGATGCATTCATTTAGATGATGCATCATATGTCTTGTCACATGATATATTTATATGATGAGACATATCATGCATGGAACAAGGCATAACTCAAGCAAGATTTTGCATGATTAAGAGATATGAATTCTTGAATCAATGATCATACACGTGAACAATTCTAGCTTAACTTGAGAGATTTAAGACTCAATAAAACAAAGTATGATTGTTCAACAAGTAACTAATCACACATGGCTACCATCAATCTCACGCGTGGTTTTGTACTTAGTCACAACACAATGAAACATAGGTGCTAAAACTTGTGTGAACACTGAAGCCTTTCACGTATGGTTTTGCATGCGGAGATAGAGCATGAGGCAACATACAACACAAGTGCTTAATCAGGCGTGAAGCACTTCTTCATACTCATGTGATCTAGCATATAGAGTGCCTAACGTGCAAAAACTCATGAATGATGTGCAAAATCACATGTGATTCTGCCTCTTCACTATGCAAATTTTGTCTATGAAAAACCATATGTAAGAGGGATAATGTTTGCAAGCTTTAACATACTTATATGAGCGTTAATGCATATAAACGAGATATATGATGCATTCATTTAGTAATTAAGGAAAGTGATAAAGCTCTCTAAGTTTTCATACTAAATCTAAGAGAATTTGAATTACTTATCCTAAACTTCTTGATCTTCTCTTGATTCTTTATGCTCTTAAGGTTTTGTCTTCATCCATGATTCTTTATATATGGACACATAACAAATACCTCTTCTCTTTGTCTTGTAATCGTCAAAACACATGATCCAATAATCTCTCCCTTTTTGATGATGACAAACCCTTAAGATCAAGGTTCTTAGTTCTGTTTAATATAAAACTCTCCCTTAAACTGACATGGGAGAATTGAAAGATAAAAGTGCATAATTAAGTAAAAAGATTGAATCATATAAACTAAAAACATAAAATGTCATTGATAACAAAAATATTATAGTCATATCATCAAGGAAAAAGAATTTCTTCCTAAGGTTGAATTACATAACTCCTCCTTAAGCCTAGCCTATCCCTCTACACATGTCTTCTCTCCCTTTGGCATCATTGAAAAGATGCAGGCCTTCCTAAGGGAGAGGACACTTAATGCCTAAGAGTGGCTTCTAAGATTTCTCTATCAGATAGAGAATTTAGATTGAAGGCAGGAGTTGATAAAACAATTGCCCAAGTATATAAATCATTTGGATCCATAGGGGGAATAAGATTTAAAGCTTCATTTGAGCCATCAATAGCTCAAGGAGACAATAGGGATGATTCTAGATTAGCAGCTTTAACTTTCCCTTTAGGAGGTATAGGAGCTTGATGGTGCTGAGGATGATCTTCTGGTCCTTCATCCTCATGTTCTTCAATGATGAGTTCCTTAATAATTAGGGCAAGGGAAGGTTTTGTTTATCTATGTTTGGGGGCAGATTTCTTCCATTAAAAAGTTTTGATTACTAATTGAGTAAAGGAGATGGTAGGAGAGGTCATAGGCATTGGTATGGATGAAGATGTGGTAGACTTTCCAACATTTTTAGTGAGTTTACTAACAAGTTTGATAAGATTCATATCATCAATGTCCCTAAACAGTTCCTTAAAGGAAGGAGTTTCTATAGTTTTGGCTGTGTCTAAGGATTTTGGTAGAGAGGGAATATGAGGGAGTGGCATGCTATCAAAAGGATGAATTGGCTTTGAAGTGTCATGATGGCTTTGATACTCAGGCTAGGAGTTTAGAGCTTGGTGTTATAGGTGGAGGTGGATGGATGATCCTTAATCTCTTTAAGAAAGAAGATTTTCTTGCTCTTGAGATGAAAGGTGGTCAATAGGTGAGGGCATTCTGAATGGTGAATGGGGTGGATCAGAGTGTGTTTTGGAGGTTAAGGAAGAATCTACTGTATGTACCAAACCCTCTCTAAATCTTGAAGGACTAGCCTCATCTTCTTGTCTGACAATTCCTCCTTATGTCTTAGAGATCCTAAGGTGATTCATGATTCTATCCAACTTGCCATTTAAGTATAATATCATGTTACCAAGTCCTTTGATGTTGTTTTTGATATGCACCACTACCTGGTCAAGCTTTCCTTCAATTTTATTAGGATTTTATATGGGAAAGCATTAGACATGTCAAGTGGAGTGGGCATCTGAAGAGGAAGTTGAGAAGAAGAAGCTTTAGCAGCCTCTAATGTTCCAACAGCAACTTTCTTGTGTAACTTCTTCACTAGTACAAAATAAGATTTTAACGACATATTTTTTGCCACAACTTTCAAAATAATTGTGCTAATAAATGATATAATGGTAAACTTGTAAATAAATAGAAAAACATAGATTTAATTGCCACAATCATAAATAATAACTATCACCATAAAAATAAATTAATTATTTAATTTAGTATATATTAAATGTGTGTTAGACACTTAATTAATAAATTATTAAAATTAATTTAATTATACAAGTTTAATTAATTAAGTAATTTAATGAAACTTCATTTTTTTGAATTTAAAGACATTAAATATCATTTAATAAAAAAATTAAATTAATTCAAAAGTTAATTTATTAATAAATTAAATTAACTTGACTATTTAAAATCACTTATTAAAATCTAAAACTAATTAAATGACATTTAATCAAAAAAATTGAATTAATTAGTAAAATTGAATTATGAACTAATTAGGAGAATTTAAATTATTCAAATTATTAATTAATAATTAAAAATAATTATCAATTAATAATTAATGTAATAATTTTTTTTTTTACAAAAAGACATATAATCATATGTCTTTTTCAACTTTTTTTTAATTTATTTTTAAATGGACCTTTGGCGATAGGTTTAAATTAAACTGTCGCCATAGATGACCTATAGCAAAAGGTGTTATGGAGACCTGTTGCCATAGGTCTACTTTTATGTGCATTTAGAATTAGTTAATTACTTAATTTAATAATAAAATTAATTATTTAATTACTTAATTTAATTTAAATTATATGTGTCTATGACAATTAATTAATCAATTAATAAAATTTATTTAGTAATATATAATTTTAGTTAATTAAGTAATTTAATTAAGCTTAAATTTTCTAAATTCAGACACATTAAATATCATTAAATTAAATTTTTTTAAAAATGAAGTTATTAATAAAATTAATTAATTTAATTAATTAAAATTATAAATTAGGATATGAAATTAATTAAATGACATTTAATTAAAAAATTAAAAATTAAATTATAAACTAATTAGGAGAATTTAATATATTTTAATTATTAATTAATAATTTAAATTAACCAATAATTAATTACAATAATTATTAATTAATATTTATTGAAATAATTATAAAAAAAAAAAGACAAATGGCGACAGGTCTCAATGAGACTGTTGCCATAGGCCTTACGGCCCACCCCAAGTTCATTTTTAATGTTTTTTAAAAAGTGACCTTCGGATAATCTATGGCGACAGGTTTAATGGGCGCCTTTCGCCAAAAAGTCCCTTAGCCGTTCACCTAGTCCCAATACCACAATTGCCTCCAGCTTTTGTGTGTCGCCTTATAATTCTCCCACAGGTCTCGCCCTTAGCTCTTTAGTCCCGACTGCCTCCTCAACTCCACCCCACATCTCTGTTAGCTCCTCACCTCAGCTCGTCTCTGTTAGCTCCATATTGATGGGTTTTTGGCGCTTTACCGATGTCCTACCTTTTACCTCACACCTCATTCTGACCTCTCATTCCCCTTCGCCTTCTTGCTATTGCACAAGATCCTCCTCTGCCAATTCTATCTGCTGCCATAGCATTGCAGTTGCATTTGCACCCGCTACTTCCTTACCATTCCTAGTCTTTTTTGTTCCCTCTCTTTTCAGTAAGCCCATTTCTACTTTTTCCCTTTGCCGCACCATGCCCTTGATGAACAAGTGTTTAGTTAGATTATACTTTCTCCAAAAGCATTACCTCTCGATGTTGCAGCTCCTCTGCTTTACGCTAGGATCACAGTGGACAGCCCTTTCAGATATTTTGGTCTCGACAAGCCTAGCCTTCATGTGGGTGTGGTCAGTCTCGGTGGCCTCAGCCGTATGGCATTCAAGATAGCCAAAGGTTTTGGAGCAAAGGTTAGTGTCATAAGTACTTCTCCTAACAAGAAGGAAGCCGTTGAACATCTAGGAGCTGATTCCTTTATTATTAGTCGGGATCATGACCAGATGCAGGTAGTTAATTTTCGTCACAAGTACTGTTGCTCTTATATATATTTATATATGTTATATATACATACACATATACACTTATTGTTTAGTTCATTGGAAGTTTTAGTAAGCTGAACAGCTTATTGTTTAGTTCTGGGAATAACCTAACCAGGTATGGCACCTCTGCTCAGTGTTTTCCTTTAGTAGTTCCAATTACACTTGGAAATAAGAAATATACTAGGTCAACATAGCTAAGCAAAATCCTCATTGTCCCTCTATGAGGTATTTAAGAGGATCATTCTTTTAGAGTTTACACCAAAACTCATAGATCCAAAAGCCTTGTGTGGATCAAAAGAATTTTAGTTTCCTATATGCCTCCAAAAAGGCAAGGTATATATATTTGTGATTATCCATCAACATCCTCTAACATATATATTCTTGAGAAATGAAATTTCTGCTTTCTATACTAAATGGCAATAATACTAAAAAATGGCTGGGTCCAGTGTGAAATGAATGATTTTTATATAATCAGGAAGATTCATGGGGACAGCATCATCATGATGCAGGAAATATATGATAAATATTAATGAGTTTTTTTTATCTTGAATTCCTTTTTTCTTGGGTTCTTTTTGCTTAGCACCTTTGGGACCCATTCTTTGTGATCCTTTCTTGCTGCAAACATTTTTTTTTTGTGTATTTTGGGCATGCGTTTTTTTATAATAACATTTTAAACTACCCTGATGAACATTAAAATTCTTTTCAAAATCCTGCCCTTTGGTGTTGGAAGTTTATGCTACGTTTGTAGTTTGCTTTCATGTACTTTTGATTCAATTTATTTTATTACGAGTCTTGACATTAGTTTGTCACATGAGAGGGGAGGCAGGGTAAACTTAGCAAAGTTGGGCAGCCAGGTTTACAAAACCCCTGACGATGCTCCAATCTTGGTCTCGCCTTCGTCTGTATCAAGTAAGATTCTTATATCAAACTTTTTTAGCACATAATTTTGTTCCTTGCATTGTTAAAGGCTTCAGGCCTTTTTACAATCTGCTTGTTATTAAGAATATAGTGGCACTCTTGTGAACGGGAAATGCCTTGATGCACATTGGTTGACAAAAATAAGAATTTATCTACTTTTCATTGTGGAAAAAGTAATTAAGTTTCTTGAGTTTGAGGTGAATTGAATGAAATGAGTGGGACTTTAATTTATATTAGTCTACAAGCATTAATAATGCTAGTTACATATTGTAAAGTTCGTTAGTATAACTTTGATCCTTAGTTTTCCCTTTCCCCCTTCTTCACTTCTGGAAACATAAAGTTTAATGATCTATGTGACTATGTGTATCTAATTTCATTCTTACTTTGCTTTTTGTTCACTCTTTTTCATCCAGATGGAAAGAAGTTCTGTAGCCGCCATAAGGCAAAAGAATAAAAAAAAAAAAAAAAAGCATGAGAGTTCTGTTCGAACACTGAAGAGAAGACTTGCGGATTACTTGCTGGAGATGAAGGGCTGGAGATTAAGAAAATAAAGAAGAAAAGGTCCACTGGTGCTGTGCATAATAGAGTTGTTGAAAAGGGGAGTGCATAACAGAGTTGCGACTCTTTGGGATTTAAAACGAATTGGTCCTCCAAAGGGGAGTGCTGATTTGGATATTTGGTTTTATGGTTCTCAAGGTTTCGGGTAGTTTGGTTTATTTTCAAATTACAAGATATATATATATATATAGGGGTAATTTTTATTAATGCTGAAAACTGCTAGCTATGATTATATACTTAATGATGAAATATCTCTTTCCACAATAAGGGTGATATCTTTTCACTATTCCAAAGATTCTCATTATGCATGGAACGATATTGATACTAGCACTATTATTGGCTTATTCCATTGGTTCAATCCATGTTATTCTCCTCTTGCTTCTATTCAAAGCATTACCATATTTTTAGCTAAATAGAATGTTCAAAATGTGCTTCTCCTCCCTTCCAATTAAGTAGAGCTGGATTTAGTGGTTATTGCATGTTGTGTTTTATTTAATATGCACTAGGGACTTTTTTGACTAACTTCTTTTTGTGATATTATTAGCATATGTTTAATATTTTTTTAACTATGCGTATTTGATAAATAGATCTTTATTTCATTATTGAAGGTTACCAAATAAAGTTGACAAGAAGAAAAATGAAATCAAGTGGGTGCATATTCAAGTAAGTATTTTAAATTCATTTCCTAATTAGAAAAAAGATTGTATTATTGGTTTTATGCATTGAATTATTTTTATTTTCTTAATAATATGCTATTATCCAGTCATTTAATGAGGTAATAATATATTTTTAATGCTTATATTTTGAAGCTCGCCTTATACTTGAATTGTTATTCATATATATATATATATATTGTTATTGAATTTGCAGTATTTCATAAGTTTAGAGCTATATTCTAAGCAAGATATGAGACATATACATAACATTTGGTCCATTTTCTTCCCAGAGTTAACAAGATTAGAGTAACTAGTTTATAGATATTTGTATTAGAAATGCATATATTTTGTTGATATGTTTATATTGGATATATTTGTCTTAGTCTTTGGAGTTGTTTTTATGCATTTATATAGGTTTTGTAATTAGTAAGAGATGTATCTAATTACAAGTACTTTTTTGGAAAGAAAGGAAAACAAAGTATTTACAACCACAATTATTTATTATAACCATGGCCAAAAATGTCATTTATGGCCACAGTTATAGTTAATAACTGTGGCCATAAATGGTGATGCAAACCATTTACGGCAATAAGTTTGAGCTAGACCTGTGGTAGTTAATGTTATTTTTTTCCCCAAGTTTGCAGAACTATGGTGAAAAGTGTCATTTACTACCATACTTGCTTCTACCACATTATTTTTTATCACGAAAATGCTTTTTAACTGTGGCGAAAAACTCCTTTTACACTAGTGCTTTTTCTTCCTAGCTGTAATAAGACTAGCGAGTACTTCTTCCTCCTTTGGAACAAAAGTGTTCCCTTCTAGCTTGAACTTCATTTTATAGAGAGCAGTGTCCTGAAATTATTCTAGCTCCAGTATTACTCCTTCAGTGTATTTGACTCGAAATCTCTTTAAAATAGGTGATATGATTGATGCAAAGTAAAGATTTCATCTTTCTTCTATTCCTTCTTCCTCTTGGTGCCTACTTTCGAAACATGCAGCATTTTTGTCAATATGTAGTGACACATATTGATCGTTTTCTTTTGGATCATTCTAGTGAGGAACTCAGTCTTGAACTTAATTTAAGTGTTGACGTGTAACCTTTTCTCATATATCCACTCAATATAAGAGAAGATTACGGTGTTACCATTACCCCATATCAATCATGATAACTAATTTTTGTTTCAAAAGCTTCAGCTAAAAACTTATTTTATAAAATTGATCAGTTCACATCACAATCAGAGAAAAACATAGCGGAAGTAAATCATATACATCAATTACATAGTGGACATGACCCGTTAGCATTCCTATTCTAATTGCATGCATTTTATCACAAAATAAAACTAAATTTTAGTTCGTGCATCACGACGGGCGGTTAGTACATTGCGACATGTGGCATAAAGCCACATGCTTGCCCTGCTCATGTCGTGCGCTGCGACATGTATCACCATGCGCCGCGGCATGCCCGTATAGATTTCTACTGTCATTTTGACAGCAAAAATGACGAACTTTAGGCATGCACCAATTTCTCATACGACATCTAATTAGAGTGATTCAAGCGCCCACACGAAGTTTAGCTCGTATACTAGCTAATGAGATAGGGTTGGACATGATCTAATGGTCTGATCAAAATTTGAATATCTGCGTATAAAAAGTCACTTTTTTTGAAAATTTTGCACACCCAAGCGCTCAAGTTGATCCCTTACTGTCAGTAGATCATACTAGACCTTAAATTAAGTCCAAAAGGATCTAATACACCTGATTAACCATAATTATTTAAAATCATATTCATATATCAAAAATTGTCCTCTCTACGGTCAATTTTCACAATTCACTAACTTAACATACTTTGCCATTTCTTAGCATAATTTAACCCACTTGGCTATTTCTCAACACATACATATACAATCATATTCACCATACAATCTTAACCTTCAAATTACTCATTTCATTATAATTTGTTCTTTAGCTTAAGATTCACCAACACAAATAACCATTTCAACACAACCATATTCAAATCATAGCCTGTTTGTCTCAAACAACACATATACACATAATCGGGCTTGATTTTACAAAAAAACTCAATTCAATACATGCATGCAACCCTATGGCAACTCATATACACTTATACATATATGGTCTCAATTCTGTTCATTACACAACCTCAGAGTACACAGCTTCTCAACTCAAGCTAGTCCAGACTCTCTTCCCTTAGCCTGATCACTTCCCTATCCTATAAACATGTAACCATGGGGGTGAGATAAAAATCTCAGTAACAGAATAACTCACTCCTATTGACAATCACATGCAATAATATGAAAATAAACATAGTATATCATTAAAATCTCATAAAATAGTATTTACATCATGTATCTCATTTCATTTTCAACTTTTTGTCAATCCTAAAGGATTCCATGCTATCTCAAGATATTTTATCATATCGCATAATATACTAGCATGATCTCTACCAACCAAATCTCTAAATCACCCCGACATAAAACTATAGACTCATCTCAAACTAATATACACTCTCATTAGTCTTAAGCTCACCTGTAGTGAATCACCCGGCCAAAGATATTCTAACGCATAATACAGACTATGGTTTCTCTCAATACACACAATGGAGCGTCATTGACTCCAACACTGTATCACAAGGATATTAAGGAATCTCCAACACTGTATCTTAGTAGGCCCTAAGGAGATCTTTTCTAACACCGCACCTTTCAAGGCACTAAGGAGAATTGTTTCCAACACCGCACCCTAACAAGGTACTAAAGAAACCTTACCATATGGTCTTTATCATTTTCTATACTCAGGTGAACTCCCACCCCTATGGTTATGCTTTCTTGAACCATTTAAGGTTCCCATTTACCATATCACACTTTCTTGCACATTACATACAAATAATATTTTTCATTTCAAAACACAAGTTTCAATGCTCATTTAAACTAAAAGTATTTTCACACATAACAATTACTCAATGCTCATGCGTTACATAGCATACTAACATATAATTACAATAAACAGTCAAACAAAGGATGTTATTTGGTTACCTCAACCCTTTTGTCACTAGAAAGGTTACTCATGGATTTCAACTATCACACAAGCTTATCTCAAGCTTCCTTTCTCTACTCACGTGTCCAATATGCCAATCTGATCACATTTGGCACATTTTAATCATTTCGTCCATTTTGACCAAAAGCTCATTTTTACCACTTAAGGCTATATTCATCCATAAAATATTTTTCATTTATCCATTCTAAATTTATAGCTACTCAATTACTACTTTACATCACCATAACTAGTCTTATTTCACTCAAGAAATATTTTTGCCTTAATTTTCTCTCTCTAAAGGCTAAAATTGAGCTTATAGGTTCAAAGATCTGCCGTTCAGCTCTAAACCAGTCACAAAGCTCTAATTTAACTTTCGAGAACATTTAATTTTACTATTGAGCAAGAATCAAACCCTTCAAATTCCACCAATTCAATTTTTTTATAACTCATTTTCAGAGAAATTTGTGTAGAATGGAAGGTAAGAGTTATACATAGCTTACCTGACAAGTTACTAATCCGAAACACCTTCTATTGCTTTAAAATGACTTAACTTAGTTCTTCAGCCCTTCTCCTCTCTCTATCTCGTGTGTTTCTCAATTTTTTTCCTCTAAAATTTTTAAAATTTCATGACTTATGAAGGTAAATTCTGAGATCTATTCTCACCATGCACACTTTCTTTGACTTGAAATGTACTTCTATCACCCATATCTATTCATACAACACACAAACAAGTTAAAATACCAATTAATCATCCAAATCTCTAATCTCACTTTAATTTTCACTTCACCCTCGATTAACCTTTACTTAGGATTAAGAAATTCAAGATATTACATGAAGGTTGTCCTCTTGTTAAGAAAGAACCTTGCCAAAATGTATGCTAGCATTCAATGCTTGAAAGGGAATGAAGTGGATCTAAAGATGAAACCAGGCTTCAAAGCCTCCTCAAGTACGTCTTCTGTCATCATAATTGCTTTGTATTTCTCTTTGTTCCTGTATTGTCTAGGAACATTTCTTTGATTATCACATTTGAACTCTTGAAGCTCCAGACCCTTTGATTCAAGACCAAGAATATGTCCTAAGCTCTTTGGAGTGAAGTACATTAGACATCCTCAGACATTGGTCTTGTAAGTCTTCTTTTGCTTATCCCATCTAAAGCTAGCACAGAAGGCCTTCAATACTTCAATTGAGCATGAGAGATTAAGCTCTAACAGGCCTTTGTAATCTCTCAAATATTCATCTATATCAAAGTTATGAGCTTTGATAAAAGAATCATATTTGGTGTAATGACTCGTGACCATCACAGTCGAGGAAAAGTAAAAATACTGATTAAATCTAGATTGATGCTCGGAGCTCAAAAGCTTTCCATCTCTAATATTTCCTTTGAAACTTCACTTAGAAGCGCATCACTACCATCATTGGATAAGTATATGCTAATTCTGGTTTGAAATTCTTCTTGTAGATTAGTTATAGCAGGCTCTTATGTACAAGCAAGCTCTTTGGATTTTCTTGGAGTTCTAAGCCTCTTTAATGATCAAGAAGGTGATTTTTTGCCTTCTCTAATTAGAGCTTTTGTGAATTTTCTCTTCTTCATAACCTCTTCACTGGTTCTCTTTCCAGTCTCTTTTATTGTTACCATCATAGATAAGTTTAGAGAATACAAGAATTTAGGTTGAAGGAAGAGATGATTTTAGACTAAAGTGAGATGTGAGAAGCAGGTTAGAAGAGATGGGCAAAGAAATTCGAATGTCAAAACGGCCAGAGAAGAATTAGGAAGGCACTTAAGAAGGAAGGATTAAGTAACAACTAGAAAAAGTAACTTTGGTTCATGTGTGAAAATGAAGGTAGATGAGGAATCTATATATAGGTAATATAGGATCACGCATGAAACAAAATTGGTTTCGTGCGTGATTTTACACTTTTAACTAACTAGGTGCTAAATCTCATCTGTGACAAAGAAGTTTTACATGTGATCTGGTAGTAAGTATAATGTTCAAATAATGCACAATAAATACAAGTAAAGTCACATGTGATCACAAATTACTTTCACATGTGAAATGGCCACAATTGAACACCATGCTCTCAGGATGGCATTTCATGCAAGTGAGCCTTCCTCTCTCATGTGTGATTTAACACATCTTAAAAAGAAGGATTCACTAAGTGTTATTTCACGCAAGCAAGACTAATGTCTTCATTCTTAAATTAGCCCAATTCAGAAGTAAAGACATCCTAAATGCCATTTCACACGAGTGTGCATACCTATTTCACGCATGAAAATATAGCCAAATAGATAGAGACATAGAATCAAGCAAGTTCACATAAGATATGGCAATTAAACTTACAAGAACTATTTTCTAACAGTAATAACCAATCTTTTAAACGTATTATACCTAATCTTCTGACTTCTTTCTTTAAGATTTGCCTTATTTTATTCTAATAAAATTAGGATTCATAGATGTTCTCGCAAGAGCAACTTAAGACAACTCTAAAGCTCAAGTTAGTAAAAGATTCAAAGTGTAATCTATTTAAATTTAAGAAACTTACAACTTATTGGGATTTACCATTCTCAATTCCCTTCTGATGAATGTGAATTGTTCTTTATCCAAATGTTTGGTGAAAATATTTTCTAGTTGCTTGGTGGTAGGCACAAATTCCAATATGATGTCCTTCTTTTGTACATAATCTCTTAAGAAATGATGTCTAATGTTAATATGCTTAGTTCTTGAGTGTTAGAGAGGATTCGTAGCTAAGTTGATAGTGTTGGTATTGTCACATCTAATTGGAATTTCCTTGAGGTCAACTCCCAAATCTTCCAATTGTTGTTTTAACCATAAAATCTGTGCACAACAGCTTCCAGCCGTAAAGTATTCAGCTTCACATGATGATAAGGAAACACTATTTTGTTTCTTGTTGAACCATAATATTAATGAGCCACCAAAGAATAGACAAGTTCTACCAATGCTCTTTCTATTTGTCTTATACTCTTCATGATCAGCATTTGAATACGTAATCAATTTAGGCTTTCCTCCTTCTAAAAAGCATAGTCTTAGTTGTGTAGTTCCATTCAAATACTTGAAGATTTTTTTCACAGCCCTTAAAAGTGATTCCTTTAGATCAGCTTCAAATCTTACACATATACAAAAAATAAACATGATATTAGGTCTGCTAGCAGTCAAGTAGAGTAGCGATCTAATCATTTTCCTAAATTTTGATTGATCCTCCTTTTTCCTTTTTAACCCTTATCCATTTTGATTGATGCATTCATAGGTATGTTGCTTAGATTTGAATTTTCAAATCCAAACTTTTTTAGCAATTCTTGTGTATACTTGGTTTGGCTTATGAAGATCTCATCCCTCAGTTGCTTGATTTGCAATTTGAAAAAGAAGTTTAGCTCTCCTATCATAGACATCTCAAATTCTTCTTACATAATCTTAGCAAATTTCTCACAAAGAACCTCATTAGTAGCTCTAAAGATAATATCATTAATATAAATTTGAACTACAAGGATATCACTACCTTCGGTTTGCTAAAACAATGTTTTATTCACCATTCCTCTTTTGAAGTTATTATCTAATAGAATAGTGCTTAACCTGTCATATCAATCTCTTGGTGCTTACTTCAGTCCATATAATGCTTTCTTTAATTTGTAAACATGATTTAGCATTGATGGATCCTCAAATCCTGGAGGTTTCTCTACATAAACTTCTTCATTAATTAGTCCATTCAAGAATAGACTTTTAACATTCATTTGATAAAGTTTAATATCTTTAATGTAAGAAAAAGAAAGTAAAAGTCTAATAGCCTTAAGTCTAGCAACAGGAGAAAACGTTTCATAATAATCAATACCTTCTTCTTGATTATAACCTTTAGCTACTAGCCTGGCTTTATTCCTTATCATAATTTGAGTTTCATCAAGTTTGTTTCTAAAGACCCATTCATCCCAATAATAGGATGATCACTTGGTCTTGGTACTAAATCTCAAACTTGGCTTCTCTCAAACTGATTTAACTCTTCTTGTGTAGCTATAAGCCAATATTCATTAGTTAAGGCTTCTTTAATATCAGAAGATTCAATATTAGAAAGAAATGCACTAAAACGGCATATCTCTCTAAGTAAACCTCTTGTTTTAACTCTATCACCAACTTCTCCAATGACTTGATCAATGGGATGTGACCTAATATGTTTCCAACCTTTTAGAACATTATTTTTTTCTCCACTTTGATCATTAGTTATGGTATCATTACGGTTTGATTTTCCTCCTTTTTTGTTAGTGAGAGATCATCAAGAGGAAGATTCACAGTTTCTTCTTCTTTATTCTTATCTGATAAGGATTCATCAAATCTAACATGAATTGACTCTTCAATACATGAAGTTCTTTTGTCAAAAACTCTAAATACTTCTATTGGAATAATCAAGAAATACAGCTTCATCACATTTAGAATCAAATTTATCTAGATTATCCTTACCATTGTTAAGTATAAAACACTTACAGCTAAATACATGAAGATGAGAGATATTAGGCTTACTTCATTTGTAGAGCTTATAAGGAGTTTTGTTCAGAATAGGTCAGATATGTGCTCAATTGGTTATGTAACATGTTGTACTCTTGGCATTGGCCCATAAATATTTAAGAAGTTTCTTCTCATTTAGCATGGTCCTGACCATTTGTTTGAAAGTTTTATTCTTCCTCTCCACAACTCCATTTTGTTGAGGTGTTCTAGTAGATAAAAACTCATGACTAATTCCTTATTTTTCACAAAACTCAATGAAGTTAAAATTGTCAAATTTTCTACCATGGTCACTTCTTATCTTTACAATTTTCAAACTTTTTTCATTTTATCCTTTAGCTATAAATGCTGCAAAATATTCAAATGTTTGATCCTTGTAAGACATGAAAATAATTCATATGAACCTAGAATAATCATCGACTATAACAAAATTATAGAGATTACCCCCTAGACATGTTACCCTTGAAGGATTGATTAAATCCATATAAAGCAATTCAAGAGGCCTTGATGTGGATACTACATTTTTTCTTTGAAATATAGTCTTAGTTTGTTTTCCTTCCATACAAGTATCACATTACTTATCAGCTTTAAATTTTTTCTTTGACAGTCCAATAACAAGTACCTTCTTTACAAGCTAGTCTAATTGCTTCATGTTGACATAGGTTAATCTTTTGTGCCACAACCAACTCTCATCATTCACAGAGATGAGACATTTTGTGTTCAGTGAGTCATCATCACAAAAATTTATTGAATATATATTCTGAACTCTTTTTCCTTCTAGGATGGTTTTTCCTATTTATTCATCTCTCACAATGCAATACACAACATTAAAAATAACCTCATAACCTTTGTCACATAATTGACTTATGCTTAAAAGGTTATGTACTAAACCATCAACTAAATAAATATTATCAATACAAGGAGAATTAGATGCATTCCTACCAACTTTACCTATATCGAGAATTCTTCCCTTTTCATTATTTTCAAAGGTGACAATTCCACCATCTTTGTTTTCCACCATATATAAGAATATGGAGCTATCAAGTCATGTGCTTGGAGCAGCCACTATAAAGATACCACTTTTCATTTGTGGCTCTCCTTGATACCTGCAGAAATTTCATGTTTTCCTAGGTATCCAAATTTATTTGGGTCCTAATAGGTTAGTAGACCTCTTTAGAACCCACTTCATATTTTTGCTCAACCCTTCCTATGGATACATGACTTAGTCTTGTGCCCTTTCTTGTTGCAGTAGGAACAAGTGGATTGAGGAGAGTTATTCATAGCAGTAAGAACAAAGAAGTTCATGTAATATTTTTTTCTTCTTATTTAGTTTACAGCCTATGCCAGTTTTATCAAAAACACTTCTTTGTTGACTTAAAATTTTGTTTAAATTATCTCTACCCTTAATAAATTTTGCAAGTGTATATTTTAGATCTTCTTTTTCAGATATATAAAGAGAACAATTAGTACATGAGGTTTCCTTTTCCAAAATAGTACTATTCTTTTTCAAAGTATTATTCTTAGATTTGAGAGACAAGTTTTATTTTTCAGAAATAGGAAGTTCCTTTTTAACTTGCGAAAGATTTTTCATAAGAAGAAAAGATTCATTGTGCAATTCTTTAAAAGTAATTTTTAGTTCTTCAAATGTAAAATCAAATTCAAAGTCAGAATCTGAATCATTTACCTAATCAAAATGGCTTTTGGCCATTAGACACAAGTTTTCTTCTTCTTTTTTTATAGACTCCTCATTACTGTGATTGTAGATTGAAGAGAGATAAGCTTTGAATTTCTTTTTGTCATACTTGTAGCTTTTACTTTCTTGCTTCAGAGGGCATTTAGCCTTAATGTGTCCAGGCATCAATGTAATGCCCTCATTGACATTACCATATACTCCATTATAAAATTTCTAATCACTTTGAAATAATTTAAGTTGAAAATACTGAAAACATTGGGATCCCAATAAAATATTTATAAAAATATCATTTCGTAACTCATTCAGTTTATAAAACCTTAACACACAAATACATACACAGCGGAAGCAACAAGTATTCAGGTACTGAATATCAAAAGAAACATGTGCATACAAAAAATAAAGTGAAATTTTGCACCATAGACCATGGCATATGGCACAGAGGCCATAGTCACTCACTCTATGCCATACGCCGAGGCTGTGAGTACATGCATTGTGGCGCACACACCTAAATTTGCTATCAAATGGCTGTTTCTCATATGAAATTCAAATGCACACCATTTTCACATGCGATGTCCGATTGTGATGGTTCAAATGCCCACACGAAACTTGTTATGAAATCTAACTAATGACACTAGTTTCAACTCAATCTGATATTTTAATTAAAAATTGAATACCTAAGTGCATTTTGACCAATTTCTATCAAAATGTTGCTACTTAAGTGTCTTAATTCGAAACCAATTGTCATTAGCCACTTTTTAGGCCTTAACTAACTCCAAATGGATAATACACACCTAATTGACCATACACATGCACAATATATCACGCATACACATATTTGGCCTATAAACTGCCCATTTCATACTTTAGGCCAAAATCATATTTTCACTTCTTTAATTCCATACAAGGCCAATTCATCACATATAATCTCTACACATCTCGTATTTACACACAATTACATTCATCCACTAGCCCAACTAGTCATTTCATTATTCACACATGTACAAGGGCTACGAAGCTTAAAATCACAAAATACAATATTTACCATAATATGCAGATGCTTAAGTCCTAAAGCAACTTATACATACTTTTGGCTAACAATTTACAAACTATCACACCATATCTTTTAAAGATTTAGGTGAGAGATATCAACTCAGCCTATATCCTTTCTGTAACATCCTGAAATTTTAAGACTCAAATTTATTTTAAAAATAAAATAAAATATTTATAATTAAATTAAAATTTAGAATAATTTGATAGAGGTCCAGAGTTTAAATTTTTCTCAGCAAAAGTTTGGTTTTATTGGATTTTTAACTATGAAAAAATTACCAAAGTTAACCCAAGCTTTTGTGCTATAAAAAAAATGTTGGGCCCTTTCTTGTAATTTGCCCTAAAGTGTTAGATCAGTATTTTAATGTGCAAAATGAATGCAAAAATGAAATGGAACAAAGAAAAAGGAAAGAAACAAACGGGAGAGAGGAAGAAGAGAGGAGAAAGAGAGGGAGTTAGGCTTGGATCTAGAAGGCTTTGCAATCGTTGCGAGCTCGACTACACAATAGGTAAACTCTCTACTTCAATCTGCTTCCTTCCCTCTTAATTTTCTTCAATTTTTGGAAGAGGAAATTTTTGAATTTTGATTCCAAAGACTTTATTTTTGTAAGCTTTGGTTTCTTTGGATCCTAAAGAGGATGTTTTGAGTTTCTATATAGTGATATAATATTTTGAGTAGATAATTGGATGAAAAGAGGTGGTTTGGGCACAAGTCAAACCTTAAGAGGTTGGGTTTTGCTGCTTAATGGTTTAAGTCTATTGATTTAGTTATAATTTTACTATTTGAGCCTAATAAGATTTAAATTAAGGTTTGGTTTTCATTATAAAGGCTAATGGTAAAAGTTGGTGACACTAAGTGAAGGTTTTTAATTGATAATTATATAAATTAAAAATTATCCTAACGATGGCTAATAAATGGTTTTGGTGGTTAAGTGATACTATGTGAATGGTTGGTTTAATATATAGACCAATAGGATGGATTATGACTCATTGATCTAAGTTGTGTTGTATGAGTTATAGTCTTCATTAATGCTATTTATCATGATAAGTGATGTGGATCACTTATATGTTGTAGAAAATTATTGGTGGAACTTATTGAGAAGTTAAGGAACAAGCCAAGTCCTATTTTGTGTAAGAGGAACCCTTTTGGTCCTAAAGGGTTAAGGTAACAGGGGAATTTATATTTCTTGTTACTTTATTTTAGCTATTTTTGAATAAATATTACTGGCTATCATACATTACATGTTTTAAAAGATTAAATGTGCTTTATAAGGGGTTATGGGGTACTACTTTGATTATAGTGAAAATATGTTGTCTAATTGTTTAACAACAATATTTTTATGGAAACGAGATTTTTTTACATGCATTGTAATAATAAAAAATAGAAGTTGCACTTAAGAAAGTGTAACTAAGTAAGGTACCTTAAATAGGCTAAGGAACTATTTAAAGGAGATTTATAAATGTTATACTACCTTAGAGTGTTAAAGTGGTCAATACTCGAGAAAGATAGATACGAATAAAAGGCATGATCTTGGTGGGAGTTCACCAATGAGAAGGTGTAGACTTTTGATATTTTATGGCACATTGCTAGTACTCAGTGTTGCCTTACGTATTGTGGGCTTAGTGCACTAAAGTGGTTAGTGTATTGAGTGTTCGACACCTCTCAGTGGGGGAGGGAATCTGACATATGAAGTGTGAGGTTGAGTGCCTGGGCCAAGGTAGCCCTCACATGGAGAGTAAGTCGGGCTAGCTCTGGGAGGGAGTTAACTTTGACTGCTTAGGATTCACGTCGAAGAGGCATAGGCGGTTCGGTGGATTAGATCATGCCTTAGATTATGTTTTGTGCCTATGGAGGTACCAGTAGGTATAAGGTTTACTTGTGAGTTAAGAGTGCTAGGGGGCATTCTATTAGTCATGAAAGGCCATACCGGCCTATGTCATGCATTCATGCATTTTAAATGACTAAATTATATTCTATGTTGAATTTATTATTCATTTTTTTGATTATGGCTTACTTTGTAATAATCAATGTAGATTTATCTATTACTGAGATTGTGGTTGTCTCACCCTTTTCTTTTCAATATTTTCAGGTCCAGGCAAAGGAACCAATAGAGGATGGGGAAAGGAACATAGCTAGGGGTTGTTTGTGAATTGTAAAGAACTACAATCCCTTTCTTTTGAGAAAATCTATTGTAATGTATTTAGAATTAGGGTGCCAGTAGGATGTGATTATATATATGTGGAGATTGTATGGCTTGTGTATGAATTTTTATTTGCTTGTAGACTTGTGGCTAGGAAACTTGGCTATGGTGTGTGGTTTTGATGGATTTATTTAGTAGACCAAGTTTTCACTACAAGAAAATATTTATTTTGGTATATATGTGATTCCACAAGCAAATGCAAAGTGGTTGCATTGCAAATGGTGTGCTACGGACAAACATACACCTTGGATAGAGAGAGTGGTGCGTGGGCCCCACAGAGATCTCTGAGCTAAGTGAAAATATTTAGCGTGTGTATTCATATGTGTATATGATATTTGGAATAGTTTTTGGCCACTCTTGTGTGATTTGTGCATTTTGGGGGTTTAGGGTCAATTTTGAGAAATGGCACTCAGGTGGTCAAATTTTGGTATAAAGGGTTTTCTATCATTTAAATGTTCTATCAGGTTTTTTTAGTCCTATTTGACATGTCCAAAGTGTTCCCATAGATTTGTGACCGTTAGGATGAGATTTGGACAATTTTAAAAATGGTTTTTACCAAAAAACTGCACTTTTGCATCCGAGTGTCCAAATCTTAATCCGACCGTTGGATTTCTCTAAAATTTGGGTCACAAGTAAAACCCTTTATAAGCTTTGTGTGGGCTTTGAAATCAAATCGATCGGATGTTGAACAAAGAAATGGCACACTCCGGAATTTGGTCCGGAGGAGTTGTCATGACAGCATAAGTGTTGTCATGATAGCAACAGTGATGATGTTGCAACATGCGCAAAATTCAATCCGTCCGTTGAATCTTTCCAAAATTTGATATGCTAATAGTACTATTTAAAATTGACATGTGGGCTTTGAAATCGCTCCGATCAGAGTCGAATGATAAAATAGTACACTCCGAAAGTTAGTCTAGAGGTGTTGTCATGACAGCTTTTGTGATAACAAAAATGACCAAAATTTTAACATGTCAATTTTTAATCTAACCGTTGGATCTTTTTAAAATTTGGTACACTTATAGTACCATTTGAATGTGATGTGTGAGCTTTAAAATTTCTTCAATCGGGGATTGGATGATAGAACAAAGCCTCCCGAAAGTTGGCCCATGAAGGTTGTCATGACAGCAATTTAATGCTGTTGTGACAGTATCTTTTTACCTTACTTTCACCTAACTTGCTTTCGTTCGCTATACGTAAAACTTATAAATTTTTTTTATTTAAAAAATGTTTTAAATGTTTACTTTGTAATCGTGTATTTGCTTAATGATTTAAATGGTTTGTTTCCTAAGTTAGTTTTAGGGTTAACTCCTTAACCACACTTAGTTTATTTGAATTGTGTAATTTTTGGATAACACTCAGGACAAGTGGTACACTTTCCCTTTGACCCACTAGTACTAGAACCTGAAAAATGTAAATAACCATGGGTGAGATTAAAATCTCAATAACCAATATAGCTCATTTAATGCCTATTTCCACAGATAACCATGCCAAAGTAACAAAATAAAGTAATATCATATATATATCAATGTATGAAGAAATATCATCTTTTTAAAACAATTCCCCACAAATACACACTAGTATAACCATCTAACCATTGAACCTCCAATGTTCCTCAACATGAAACTATAGGCTCTCTTGGATCAACCACTTGTTAACCTCAACACACTTGCGGTGGTAGAAACACCTAGCCAAAGGTAATCTAACTCACCTATGAACTATGGTTTTTCCTCTTCACACACTTATGATAAAGATATCGATGACTCCTAACCGCACTCTAATGGGTACTAGAGAGTTGCTAGGCTACTCAGATGTCCAATGGTAACAGTTCCATAATATGATGTACCAAATTACCCATGGTAACAGCCTGTATAATACTGCACTAGATGTCTCATGGTGCCAGCTCGATCATATGGATTTTTCACTCACATATCTCCACCTATACATCCCCCCATATCTTGGGTGAACTTTCACCCCCTATGATCATGCTCTTTTATAATTTCCACTACTTATGCACATTTTCACAACATATATACTTCCATATCATATATATATATATATATATATATCCATTAAAAATAACTTTTTAAATTCATTTCACAATCCAAAGTTCATGCTAAAACCATTCAATAACAATCATGCATAAAACTCTTAAATTCATAATTTATCATTTGGTATTCACTTCTACACTGTTATAATTGTTAATAAACATAATAAACTATATAGTTATCTTAATCTTTTTGTTTGATAAAAAGGGCTACCCGTGTAACTTCAACCCTATATAAGCTCCTTTCTCACAATTTGTGCATCACACACTAGAATCTACATAGAATTGGCATTCGGAGTTAATTCCTCTATTGACCAAAAGTGTCAATTATCACATTTAAACACTTAATCACTTGCAATTCCACATTTCACACTTGATTATGTATATTGCCATTAATTACCCCTCATTCCAATATTTAACATTTCTAGCCAATTTCTATCTCTAGATTAGGGCAATTCTTGCCTACAACTTCAAAGCTTTATCATTTCAACTCCAACCAATCACAAAGCACTAATTTAGTTTTGAAGAACCTTTCTATTACTATAGGATAAGAAATCAACTCCTTAAAACTCCCAAATTCAATTTCTCATTAGTTAAAACTAAGGAAAAATAGGGTTGATTCGGAGGTTAAGGCAGTACGTGACTTATCTGATAAGTAGCAAGTCAAAAACACCATCCTTGCTCCTGATTATGCTTGCCCTAGCACACCTTTTGCTCTTCTCCATGCTAGACCTCTCCTCCATGTTTCTCCCTTCTGTTTCATAAGATGGACACGTCCCTATTAATGTAATTTTTGCTCCATGCACCGCGGTGCATCTATACCTCATCCCGGCATGTGACACAGTGAGGGAAATCCTTACTATGTTAACATAATATCCCAATGAGTTAATATAACACTTCACCACTCAGAACCCTAATCCCATATTAAATCACTAATTCATCTACTAATTAGTCCTTAACACAGGATTAGAAATTTGAGATGTTATAGTTCTCCCCTCCTTTTAAGAATTTTGTCTCTAAAATTAAAACAACTCTTAACTCACATATACCTAAGGGAACAACTGAGGGTATAGTTGTCTCATCTTAGCTTCTATCTCCTAGGTTGCATTACTAGGAGTCATACCCTTTCAAAACACTTCTACCAATCAAATAGTCATGTTTCTCAATTATTTATCCTTCACATCTACTATTCACTTCAATTCTGCTTTATAGGTCATATTTTCTCGTAGCTCTCCCTCTTCAAGCTTAATCACATAGGAAGGATCCAGTTAATACTTCTTGAGTTGAGACACGTAAATATACTATAAGTCCCAGACAATTATAGATGTAAAGCAATTTGATAAGCAACCAGCCCGGTTCTCTCTAAGACTTTGAATGGACCCATGAATCTAGGAGTCAATTTCTTTGCTCTAACTAATCTCCCAATTCCTGTTAATGCATAACTTTCAAAACTACGTGATCACCTACCAAAAACTCTAACGGTCTTCTTCTTCAATCAGTATAGCTCTTTTGCCTACTTTGAGCTATTAACAACTTCTATCATATTAACTCAATCTTTTGGTTGGTCTAGTCCACAATATCTGGCCTACTATGCTTCTTTCACTCAGTTTGGTCCAACACAATAGCAATCTACATTTCCTTCCATATAAAGCTTAATATGGGGCCATTTGAATGCTAGAATGATAACTCTTATTATACACAAATTTAGCCAATGGCAAGTAGCTATCATAACTAACACATAACTCTAGCACATAAGATTGCAATATATCTTCTAGAGTTTGAATGGTTCAATCAGTTTGCCCATCAGTCGAGGATGGTAAGCGGTATTAAACTTCAAAGTAGTACCCATAGCTCTTTGTAATGCTATCTAGAACCTAGATGTAAATCTCGATCTCGATCAAAGACTATATCCTTAGGCACTCCATATAAACATACAACCTCATAGATATAAATCTTAGCCAACTTCTCTAGAGAATCACTAATCCTAATGGCTAAGAAGTGAGCTAACTTCGTCAACCGGTTAACTATTACCCAGATAGCATCATACCTCAATTGAGTTCTCAATAATACAGAGATGAAATCCATAAAAATGCTGTCCCATTTTCTCTTAGGTATTTCTAATGACTATAACATTCCAACTGGCCTCTGATGCTCAATTTTCATCTTCTAACAAGTGAAGTATCGTGCTACAAACTTAGTCACCTCTCTTTTCATTCCTGGCCACCACCAATAATGCTTAACATCTCGATACATCTTCATAGCTCCCAAGTGAATAGTGTATTTACTATAGTGTACTTCATTTACGATCACTCTTCTTAAGTCTGCATCATTAAGTACACAAATTCTATCCTAATAAACCACGAATCCATCATCATTGAAGCTGAAATCCATAGCCAAATTTGACTCAACGTTTTCTCGCATCTTAAGAAGATACTCACCTTCTAACCGTGCCATTCTCAATTCCTTCCAAAAATTACTATTGACCATAGTAGTATAAATACCAACTAAAGCTTTCAATGATGCATCTGGTTGAGAATCAATGAAAGACTCCATCAAATTATGATATTGAACCATCAAACTAGCTGTGTACCACCTTCTTGCTTAACGCATTAGCTACTACATTAGCTTTCCCTAGATGGTATTTAAACTCAAAGTTATAATCTTTAAGGAATTCCATCTATCTTCTTTGCCTCATGTTTAACACTTTTTGATCCATTAGATACTTTAAACTTTTGTGGTCACTAAACGCGCTAAACATTGAACCATATAGGTAATGATGCCAAATCTTCAATGCAAAAACCACTGCTGCCAGTTTTAAGTTATGAGCTGGGTAATTCTCTTTATGTGGCTTGAGTTGTCTTAATGCATATGTCACTACTTGTCCATCTTACATTAGTACACAAGCTAAACCTCTTAGAGAAGCATCTGTGTACACTTCATATAGTAATCTTGAATTCGAGTTTATTAATACAAGTGTAGTAGTTAATTTTTTCTTTCAACTTTTGAAATGCAATCTCACAACTGTCATCCCAAACAAAAGGTTGATCTTTCTAAGTCAATTTCGTCAATAGGTAAATAATATGAAAGAAACCTTGGATAAACCTTTGATAGTATCCAACCAATCCCAAAAAACTTGGAATCTTTATAAATAAACTAGGCTATCTACTGATACGACATGGCCTAAAAATCTAACTTCCTTCAACTAAAACTTACACTTACTGAGCTTGGCATAGAGCTTGTTCTCCTTAACAATCTGGAGGACAATCTGAAAATGTTTGGCATGTTGTTCCTCATCTTTCTAGTAAAC